GAAAAGAATATTAAATATACCATTAACCACTAAGAGAACAAAAAAGTCTGCCCTGGAGAGGGTGAAGCCAAGGTTTTTCTTGGAGGTAAGGATTTTGAGACTCCATCTCACATATTTTGGGCAAGCATCCAGGAGGGACCAGCTTTTGGAGAAGGATATCATGCTTGGAAGAGTCGAGGGACAGTGCGGGAGAGGAAGACCCCAGATGAAATGAATTGACAAAATAACTGGGGTAATGAGGGTATGTCAGAGACAGTGAGATTGGCTCCAGATACAGCAGGATTCAGAGCTATTGTGTATAGGGTTGCTATGAGTTGTAGTTGACTTGACAGCACATAATAATAAGTACAGTAGAAAAATATATTGTGTTTAGGAAGCCATAGTTTTGTTTGTGTTGCTGTAGACGTATGAAGAATGCTACTTTAGCTAAATAAATCAGGAAAGCCAACTCTCTTTTTAAAAAATATATATTCTTATTTATTTACAAAACTGAAATACATTGTTTTTCACAAAAGATCCTTCCCATTTCCTTTACCCCACCCACATATTGAATTGTGTAATCCTATGATTAACACTCTACCCTCTCCACTTATTTTCACCCCTCTATTTCCGCCCTCCCAACTACCACCTAGGATCCTCATTCTCATTCTACAATGGTTTTATACAATATTTGTCCTTGTGGGACTGAATTAGTTCACTCAGCATAATGCTCTCCAGTCCCTCCCAAGTTAGGTAATAATTTACAAAATCATTGCTCCCACATGCTGCATAGTATTCCATTGTATGAATGTACAATTATACAGTGTATGAATGATTTCTCAATCTACTCATTTTTGTTTGGACATGTGGGCTATTTCCATGTTCTTGTGACAGTGAATAATATGGCTATGAACATTGGTGTACAAATTTCCATTTGAACTTCAGTTCTCATTTTCTTGGGGTATATTCCAAGCAATGGAATAGCTGGGTCATATGGAATTTCTATGTTCAACTTTTTGAGGAAGAGCCAAACTGCCTTCTAGAATGGTTGTATCATTTTACAATCCCACCAACAATGTAACCGAGTTTCTATCTCACCACATCCTCTCCAACAGTTATTACTTGCTGCCCTGTTAAACTTTGCCACTGCTACTGGAGTGAGATGTTATCTCATTGTAGTTTTGATTTGCATTTCTCTTTTTGTCAGTGATTTTGAGCATTTCTTCATGTGTCTGTTGGACATTTGAATATCTTCCTCTGTGAGAATTCTTTCCATGTCTTTTTCTCATTTTGTAATTGGTCTAACAGACTTTTTCTTGTGGAGGCCCAGGAATATTCTATAAACTTTCATTATGAGACTCTTGTCTGAGATGGTATTGCCAAATGTTTGTTCTCACTCAGTAGATTTTCTTTTCACCCTGTTGGAAAAAGTTTTTGATTCACACATGGATTTAATCTTTAGAAGGTCCCAAGTATCAATTTTATCCTCTTCAAATTGTACATTTCTGGCTGTATTTGGCAATCTCTTTATACCTTGGACTAGCACTTCTAAGCTTGATCCCAGTTTGTCTCTTATGAACTTTATGTGTTTGGGCTTTACTCCCAAGTCTCTGATCCACCTAGAGGTGATTTTTGTGTATGATGTGTGATGTAGATCCTGTTTCAGTTTCCTGCAAGTAGCAGTTGAGTTTTGCCAGCACCAGCACCATTTAAGAGGTTGTCATTTCTCTACTTGATAGGTTTTATTTCCTTGTCAAATATCAGTTGACCATAGCTGGGTCTACTTCTAGGTTCTCTATTCTGTTCCACTGATCTATGTGTCTGTCATTGTACCAGTGCCATGCTGTTTGGGTTACTACCGCTGTGCAGTAGGTTTTGAGGTCAGGGAGTGCTATAACTCCCACTTCATTTTTCTCTGATGTGTTTTAAGGAAAGCCATCTCTTAAGGGCAGATAGTTCAGCACAGGTGTTAAAATGTCTAGAAAGGGACCATCAGAGATTTGAGGGAACAATGGCAGAGGGAAAAGTAAACAAACTGAACATGAGTTAAGAAGAAGCTTGGCATTAGAGGAAAAAAAGAAGTCCAGTGTCACAAAAAGTGTAAAATGGCAGTTTGTGGGTGGAGGGGAGTTTGGCAATGGAAACAGAGAAGATCAAGTGAAAAAAGTGGTGGTTGAAGAAAAAAAAGCCACAAGGAAAACACAGTTGAAAGGAGAAGACATTGTGAGTATATTTACAACCCACACCTGTACCAGAAAACTGAGGCCCTTTGACCATTTATTAATGCAAGGAAACCTCTTCAAATTTTCTCTTCCTCTCTGTACTTCAGTGGACTCCCCTTGATAAATTGTCTGTACATGCCATGAAGAAGATAATGAGCTTTAGCAGTGAAAATGCAAGGGAGAAGTGCTTAATAGATCACAGTACTCAATATATTAACTTGAAAATGCCTTATACTGAGGTATAAATGTCCGCTCAGAATCTGTTCAATTATCCTTTTAAGGTTATGGTTGGCACGGTGTAGTGTGAACTCTGTACCTTAACAGCTTTTTACTCTCCAACAATTTCAATCAAAAGTACTTTAATTAAAGAAAATGAATAATGTAATAATCTATGCAAAAAATCCAAGAAAACATGTCATCATCATCATCCAAAATAATAAGAAAAGTAGATATCAGTTTACATGCTATCTAATGGCTTTTTTTCCCCTTTCATGACCTTGGATTTGCTCTTCAAAACAGCTCACCATCTTCCATGTCTTCCCTCTAACTGTTAAGTGTGACTCCAGCCCCTGAAAATGTGCACCTGCAGACAATCTCAAGGAAGCAACTATGCCAATCCAACACCACCTCGTTTTGAAAAGATACATCTCACATGTTGTTATTTTCTCTACATTCCTCTGAAGATGATAAGCACCTGAATCACAGTGACCGCACTGAGGTACTCACCTGCCTCCTCTGCTTTGGGTGAGAGGTAAACGGAAATGTTATTGTTGTTGTTATGTACAACTGAGTTGCTTGTGACTCATAGTGACCCTGTGTGCAACAGCCCTAGACTCTGCTCTGTCCTGTGCCAATCGCACTGTCTCCGACACTCCCATCCCGATTATCCCAATCACTGAATCAATCCATCTCATAGAGGGCCTTCCCCTCCTGCACTGTAAAAACACAACAAAATGATGCAGAAATGTCAAAGAATTACTAAGAGCAACATTGCTCTGATGACAAATTTATTTCACTCAGGACTGAATGAGGACTGTTGCAGACCGAGGGTCTCAAAGAATGGAATAATTTTATAATTATTAATAATGAGACCAACAGCCAGGAATGTGATAGAGCAGAGAGCATAAAGCAGGGGGTCAGCAGTTCTCGACTGAAGACACCAAGGCAAGCTTTGCTGTGTTTTTATTGAAAATTATTAGGAAGTAAATCATAAAGAGAATTCAATGCAAATGAAGCCAAGCTCTTTCTATTGAAAACCTTCTGCTTGACTCAGGAAGGAGGGGTTCACAAATCCAAGAATTTGGTTTACCCTTAACTATTAACCTTGATGCCTCAGGGTGAACTCTAGCTCAAGAAGTAACACTCCCTCTGTAGGAAGCCCCTTGCTGTCTCCTGTCTTGCAGGGAACAAACAGCTCATTTTCTAGGATCTGCCACAAGAGAAATCCTAACTTATAAATCTGTAATTCCTTCAATTCCTGATCCAGGGTTTTCATATAATATTTGGTATAAAGTTTGGCTTCCCATAGAGGACTCTGTCACATTAGCCAGAAACAGCTGTATCGCTTGTGGAATCAGTGAAAAATGAAAAATACAATATCCTTTTGCTTAAATTTTATTAAGGATTTCAAGACAGTGACAAACAGAAGGCTTTTCTGACAAGGAGCCCTCTGTTACTGCTGTACAGATCACATGTCCACAAAGCTAGCCCTGAATTCAACACTTTCAGTCTTGGATATGCATACATCTACTTGAATCTTTCTTTCAAGCATCTGAGAGGACAGAGGAGAGCCAAGGCCTAATTAACTACTGTGCAGAGTAGGAGACGAGCCCCCTAGGTAAGATCACTTCAGTTGTGGGAATACGCAGGAGGTGTCAATTAGGTGATCCCCGGTGGCTTCATGGAGAAAGGCATCTGAGTTAGAAAAATGTACAAGGCAGTCAGTCTCTGGGTTCCAAATGTCTTTTAATGTTTGATAAACTTCCCCTCACTTGAAGGCAACCTTCATTCACAAGGAATTCTTAATAAAAATCTTCACTTGCTGCATGTGCAGCATTTAAATCATTTACAAAACTTAAAGTCTTTTCTGACTTAAACATTAAAACTGAAAAACTCATTGCCATCAAGTATGAACTGACTCAAAAACCCCCATTGAGCTTCTGAGGCTGTAAATTATTCGGAAGGAAGTTGCCTATCTGTCTCCTACTTTGCTGCTGATGGGTTTGAACTGTCTTTGGGTTAGCAGCACAATTGCTTATGGACTATTAAAGCTCCCTTCAGTCCTAAAACTCAAACTCATTGCTGTCTAGTCAGAACTAACTCACAGGCAACCCACCAGTAGGTTTCCAGGGGTTATATGTCACATGAGAGAGATCGCCCATCTTTCTCCTGTGCAGTCACTGTGAGACTCGGCCCACCTGCCAGCTCAACTGGCAGCTCAGCTCCCCACCAACTAGGCCACCAGAGTTCCTAAAGCGAGTCTAAAGAGACCCTCAAGTAAAACTAAATAAGAGCCAGATGCACCTGTTCCTACTAAAAGACACACTGAGGAAAAGATCCCACCCATAACCAGGGGCCTGACAGGATCACTGAAAGGTCAACAATGAAACCAAGAAAAGAGCTGAAAAATATTGCTGTAGATCATTCTTTAAAAAAAAAAAAAAAATAAGAAATTAAACTTGATACAGGTCAAGATCTCTGCCAGGAAAACTTTTTTTAACACTCATGTTTTGATCACAGACCTGATTTCATATTTAAGCAAAATTAGATAGAAATTGCACAGGGATGACCGAGCTAAAGTCATTGGCGTTGGTTCAGGCTTGTTATCCATTTCTTCAAGAATATGCTTTTGGACCACAATTCCTTGACTGAGCAGAGCTGATGTCTGGAACGTCTGGGACCCAGGGTGTTGACAGTCATGGTGGGGGCAGGCAAATGGGAATCAAGGACTTTGTGACTTGAGCTGTGTAAGAACAAAGGAGAAGAGGTTCTCAACTTAGCTAAAGGGAAATTAGAATGAACAGGAGAAGGGACAGGGATGGGGAGGGAGAAGACAGAGAGGAAAGAAGAACAAATTAAAAAGAGGTTAAAGAAGCAACGAACAGGGAAAAGCTCACCTCTGCTTTTGAAACCAATACTGAAGGGCAATCAGCATAATCAGTGTGACTAGGACAGTCACACAGATCAAGGTCAAGAGCACGGAGTATTCATCTGTTTGAAAAAAGTATAGATGTCAATCCACTGTATTTTTTATTTGCTGAAGTTAATGCTTCTCATTTTACAGGTTTGGAGTTACCCCATATTTTTCATCAGTGGTTTTGGAACCTCACCTTTGAACTCCTGAATCTTTATCACTGATCTTTCTTTCTATGAAGCCACTAGGCCATTCTATCTTTTCTCTTTAGTAGTTCTAATCACCTACTTTGATTTTCTTAAAATACAGCTGCTGTCATTTCTCTGCCTTTTGATGTCTGGAATCTCCCACTCATATCTTTCTTGTGTTGAGCATTCCTGTTCATTTCCCCAACTCCTCAGGCAAAAGCCTTAAGACTGTATCAAGTCCCTTCCCTGCTGCGCCCCAGTTGTTTCTCACCCCAGCGGATGATTAAATCATGGCCTCCTAGACTGCTGTGCTTCACTCGGCAATACAGGCCAGATGTTTCCTGCGTTTTCACATCCAGGGTGACTCGGAGATACCAGGTCCCATCTGCATTGGGCATGACGTCACTTTTCTGAGTGCCCGGCTGCTCCTGCGCCCCCCGCATCCACGCCACCCACACAGGCTTTGGGTAGAATCCTGAGACATGGCACACCAGCAGCACGTGACTGGGGTCAGGAGCAGGACCTTTGGATGCCCAAGCTTCTGGCTTTACTGGATAGAGGTGAGAAGGAATGAAATTCAGGCTGGGACCTGAGGCAGAGCTCAGGGCCTCAGAGTGCCTTGGCAGTGAGAGTAATCACTCCTTTTTCTTGTCTAGGAACCAATCTTAAAATCACACATCCCATCCTTTAGCTTCTCGTGGTGTTGTTGCTGTGTACTATCAATTTGGGCCTGACTCATAGCTGACTCTCTGTTTTCAGAGTCAGTAAATTACATAGGAGGTGACTCCTCATCTTTCTCCCTCAAAGCATTTGTTAGATTTAAAGAACATGCCTTTGGGTTGGCACCCTTACTACTAGGCCACCAGAGTTCCATTAAGTTCTCATAGACAACTCAAACACAAAGGTTAAAGCATGAAGAATATGGTAAAAGAAAGAGCAGGCCTCACCTTGCCGCTCCAGATCGGCCTTTCCAGCTTTGAGGAGACCTGCCAGGAATCGAGGGCATGTCTGAAAGAGAAGGCTCTGCACTAGCTCTTTAATATCTCTGTAGTTATTGAGCAACCTGCAGACGTTCTGGGCCCGACTCCCTGCTCCCGGAGAGGGCTGCCAGGAATTGCCCTGAAAACTCAGGAAATCTGTTCCTTGATATGCCCCCATCAGGAAGCTTTCTGTGCCCTTCCCAGAACGGATACTACAGCCAGATGATATCTGAAGTTCGAAGGGATCTGGAGGGAAGAGAAGGAAGGAAAACCAGCTTGTAAATAAATACAGAGAATGGAGGTAAACAATATAAAGGGTAAAGGGATTCCAGGGAAGGAAAATCTGCTGGGTAAAACTAACAGGACAAGAGAGTTGGAGTAAGGCATTCTGGTGGCATAATCTGAAGGGAGTTGAGCTAATAAACAAAAAGCTACACCAGTGGCTGCATGAGTGAAGGACAGTCTTCTCCCCTGACATGTGTCATTTATTATTTGGACTAATAACTGTCCCTTCATTGGGTTTCTAAGACTACAATTCACAGGGGAAGAAAAAGTCTATCTTTTTCCCATGGAATGCCTCAATGTTTTTGGTTAACAGCACAACTCCCTCTGGACTAGAGGTCCCTTAGACTAGAAAAACTCAAAACTATTGCCACTGAGTCAGAACCAAGTCAAAGCTAACCCTTCAGCATGTTTCTAGTGGCTATGAACCCCACTGGAGGAGATTGCTAGCCTCTTCCTGTGGAGCTGCTGGTGGATTCAAGCCATATGCCTTTGGGTTGGCGGCAAAACTCCTTACCCACTGGGCCACCAGGGTGGAGTGGAAAGGGGAGAGGAAATTTGAGGGGAAATAATTTAAAGATATCAAAGTTTTGGGAGATAATCTATGAGTAAATGGTATATAAGAAGGTTATAAGAAAGACGGAATATTGGTCTGATAGAGAATTAGCTCTTTAGTCCTTAATCATGGGCCTAATCATGTGATCACTAAGGCAAAGAAGAAAGAAAGACAGAAACATGGCAGAGGCCTGAGGCCAGGGTTAGGCTTTCTGAGAAGCCACACATGAAGATATGTTGAAGAAAATGAGGAAATAAGTGCAAGAGGGTCTTGCAGCATAAAGACAGTGGAGAAAGCCAAAGAGAGATGTGATTTGAAGGGTGTAAGATAAGAAGGTTGGGTGATTAACAGAATCTATATACCGTCCTTGCCCCTTGAAAAAAATAGTTGTTCTTTTTATCTCACTTTTCCTTCTGCTCTTGCCTGCACTTGCCCGGTCTCACCTTGTCTCTCGCTGTCTCTCACTCTCTATGTCTCTCTGTCTATCTGTCTCACTCTCGCTGTCTGTGTCTCTCTGTGTGTGTCCTTCCCTCAATCTTCCATCTTCCTCTTTCTCTTATCCCCACTGAGTCAGAACTGATTCATTGTTGGCCCTCACCCATTGAGTTTCTGAGACTGTAAATTGCACAGGAAATTGTTCGTCTTTCCCTGAAGTGCCACTGCTGGATTTGAATCTCCAGAAAAGTGACCATTGACTTAGCAGCACAACTCCCTATAAACTATGCCACCAGAGCTCTCTAGGAAAATGGTACTGCCAACAATGAACTCACATTCAAATTGAAACTGGCTGGCAAAGACTTGCACTTCCCGGATGAATCCATGATAATACAACTGGAATAATGCCTGCAAGTTCTTGAGCTCTTCCTTGCTGAAGTTTCCCCCAGACCAGGGCCTCAAAAACCGGATGGTACCCAAGACATCGTCCCAGTGGTGTGTCTGCAGGTCATCCAACCAGCCTGAGCTCTGGGTGTACGCCCAGCTGTTGTTTACAAAGGAAGAACTCTGGAGCATGTGGAAGGCATGGGGCTCTTCTGCTGCTGCATGGGGAAGTCCTGTGACCTGGGGGACTGAGAGAGGAATGAATGTAAAGAATATGAGAAGATGGCAGGAGAGGGGTTCAGAGAGGAAAGGAGGAGTACGCTAAATGGGTCACAGTTGCGCAAATGCCCTTTGACCCCAGCCAAGCGCCCTCAAATCAGAGAAACAGAAAATGAGGCCATAATTTAAATTAGACTGTAATGCAACTCCAAGAACTCCCTATAGAATTTCACCCCTTGTCTTACACTACTTCCCTCCTTATAGCTTCCTCTTCAGCTATCTATGCCCAACTACAGTTGTTTCTCCATCTAAGCTCTTCTTACCTGCTGTGCTGTCTCCAGGGCAGAGGAGTCCCTGGCAGAGCAGGGACAGCAGGAACAGCATTAGGCCCTGTGAAGTGAAGGATTCCTAGTAGGACAACCTCCTCTCCCCTTGCCCTCTTGCATTCTAATCTGACTCCCCTTGCTTTACAGACAAACCTCTCCTTCTGCCCACATCCCTATCTCCCTCAGCCATGAGTCACCCACTAGGTCTCTCATTTCCCCTTCAGCTCCCCTTTATGCTGTCTGGCTACCACTTCCACCCACCCTAACTATCTGGCCTCCAGATCATCTGTTGCCTTTTAACTTTACCCTCCTAATCTCTGCCAGGGAAGGTGTCTTGGTTTAGAACTAAGTCTGCAGCCTGTGGTCTGATTGGATTTTTTTAGTAGTTTTTACTTTGGTAAACTGAAGATATATTTGAATTTTTAATGCCTTCTTCTGTGGAAAGAAGTGATGGAAGGTATTGAATGATGCCCAATGACCCTCCCAGCAGTTTTCCAACTGCTTACCTCTTTGTGATCCAGTCCTTCTCTTCCTCCTCCACTTCCTCCTCCTCCTAGCTGACCAGTCTTGCTTTTTCTTTCTTCTTTCCCTTCCCTTGTTAGGTACCACTGAGTTGAGTACAACTCATAGTGATCCTGTGAACAAAAGATCAGAGCCCTGTACTACCCTGTGCCATCCTCACAATCTCTGACATACTCAAACCCATTGTTACATAAACTGTGTCAAGCCATTTTGATAGGAGTCTTCCTCTCTTTTGCTGATCCTCTCCCCTTCCAAGTATGGAGCCCTTTTCCAAGAAATAGCCCCTCCTAGAAACATGTCCAAAATACAAAAAATTAATCTTTGCCATTCTTGCCTCCAAAGAGCTCTCCAGCTACACCTTTTCCAAAACATGACTGTTCTTTCGGCAGTTCATGGGATTTCAGGACTCTGCTCCAACATCACAGTTCAAAGACATCAATTCTTCTTCTGTCATCCTTAGTCATTGTCCAGCTCTCAGATACACATCAAGTGATTTAAAAGACCCTAATCTGAATCAAGCACACCTTAGTCTTTAAACTTATGTCATTGCTTTTCAGTATTTTGGAGAGGTTCCTGACAATAAACTTAGCCAAAGCAATATGTCTTCTTATCTCCTGATTGTTGATATCAAGGGTGTTGATTGTGGATCCAAGGAAGAAAAAAAATCATTAAGAGTCCATCTGACTTTTCCTTCTTACCCATTATTCACATCCTTGAAATTTATTCAAACTCTCCTCATTCATTTTGCCTGTTTCCCCCTGATCCCTCATTCTCCTCTAGGTCTCTCCAGCCTGATTTTCCCAATATTATTATGAGAAGACACTAGGCATCCTACACGTGGCTATATTATATACAACCCACAAAAAACCCCTTCATTATATGTAGTGAAAATATAATAGCAACAACAGTACAGATGATTACATAATGAAAACAAAACATTCTGTTTTTTACTTTCTAGCCATAGCTAGTGTTAGAAAAGATGTCTGAAGGAAATGGTAAACTGGCTGGCAGGTGAATTTTCATCTACATTGTGTTGGTAAATTAGCAGTGGGCAGGCAGGGGCCTTGGATCTCCAACCCTACTCCAAGTGAGACGATTGTGTGTGAAAGTGGCATGGCCAGTTGTCTAACCTTTGTCTTTACGAAGGGTAAAGGGAAACAACACCTGCATCAGCTCAAAGCTAATTTTTCTGAAATGGAGATCAGACAGTCTTCTCTCTAACCTCATTTTTTTTAACCATTTCTGGTACCAGCCATCTCTCCCACAGTCACTGTACTTATCTGCTATTTTCCATTGTGGCAATTATCTGTGGCTACACAGACTTCACAGACAACAGTTGAGATGGTAGGAATTTATAGGAAATGAAAGGTTACAATTTGAGATTGGAAATGACTCAAGATACAGTTCTTCAGTCAGAACAGTTCTTTTCAGCACATTTCCTTCTCTTGGGTTTAAGGTCCCATGATCTCTCGCAGCATCTGCTCCGCTTAGACACACTACTCTGGCAGCTAACCTTCTGGCTCCATAGGCTAGGAAACCCAGTGAGCCATCTCCTTCCTGTCACCTGCCATTGCTTTTCATCATCCCCACTGTTTCTCTTTCTTTCCCTTTCTTCTCATTTTAGGAGGTTCTCAGGACAAGGATATATGTAAAACCAAAACTTAACCTGGAGACATAAGTATAAAATCATTTTCAAAAGTACGTGTGACTGAATAATTTTAGAGGAACTTTTAAAATTTACCACACTTGTTATAATTGGGATAATTATTCCAGAAGGTTAGAATAAGGCAAAAATAATCAGATAATTTAATTCTATATTATTTCAACAAAAGCAAGGGATAGAGATGAAAGAGAAGGAAAGAAAGTTTATATGAAATAATGTCTCACTGTCAGTAAAGTACAGTAGAAAATAGGAACAATTAAAAAGAGATTTAACTTAGGGTGTTTATATACATCTAAAACAGAGTGACAAAGATCACAGACCATGTCTCCAAAATATTTTAAATGACAAAAAATATACTAAGAAAAAATTAATATACCTATCATTTTGCTGGTAAGCAATAAAAATATATAACTGCTGAAGATAAATTTTAAAGAACTTCTTTAAAAAATAACAGATTAAATAGTTCCAAATTTGTAGCCTAAATCAAACTCTAAGAAAATGAATTTATAAAAATGAGAGTCTTGGAGCTGACCTGGGAGCTGAGCTGCAGGCAGTAAGACACAGGGAATGAGTCATGGGGAGTGAGCCACAGGGAGTGAGCTGTGGGGAGTGAGCCAAACAGCTGGAGTTTGAGTGAGGTACTTTGTGGGGTGCATTGCTGAGTTTGGACCACGTGAGACCCTATAAGCTCAAGCAGAACAGAATGAGATAGCTGGGGCTTGAGTGAAGCCGCATACCCAGTTCTTGAAGACAAAACCAAGGCTTCTTGATTTCATAATCAGTTTGCTGCTCATGTCCACCCTATGAGCATCTGGGCATGCACCTGCCCAGTTGATCTATGTGCGCCCCCACCCCTGCCCTGTATACTGCACCCACCCTGGGTGCATTTGTCTCTAGGCTCCACCTTGCATCTCCTCACATCCAGTCAATTAACTGCCTTTAGTCCAGAGTACCTTTGACCAGCATGGCAGCAACAGTTGTCTGAAGAAATGACTGCTTTCACAGGCTTTTCCTCCTGCCCTCCAAACTGAAACAAGTCTTCCTTTGGGTAAGATGGTCAGAGAAAAGCACAGGCAGTGTAACCACCTCACCCTCTTCTGGAGCAGTGACTTCAGATCAAGAACCTGCTATCTCCTCAGTCATGAAAAACTGTGTCACGGAAATGTTACATAAGAAGCAGGTTAACTCACACCCTATACAACCTCAAAGCAAGATGTCACTCCCCCCCCCCAAAAAAATCACACCGTAACAATGGATTTCTTGAAAACAGAAAGTCTGATGAAACTTTCTGACACAGACTTTAGAAGAACAGTGATTGAATATTTTCAATGGGTGAAAGACAAACGTGAAGAATTACAGGACACTGCAAGAAATAACAAGGAGGAGCTAAAAAATAATAATAATAAATAAACAATTAATAATAATAAAACCAATCTAAAACAATGCAGATAAAACAAATGAGGCATTAGAAGCTCTGGAAAAATAAGAAACCATGATCCAAAATATGAGGTCCAAGATTTCAGATGCTGTTAACGTGATGGAGGAACACATGAACAGAGTTGAAGAGATGTAACACAAAGCCAGTAAAATAGAACACAGAAATTGTCACCACTGATATACTAGACCAAAAAACATAATCTAAAAGGACAAGAAAAGAAGAAAACCTAAGAATAATGTGGGACAGCATCAAGAGAAATAACAAGTGTATAATCAGAATCCCAGAACAGGAAGAACCAACTAAAGGCAATGAAAAAGTTGTGAAAGAATTACTAGAAAAAAATTCCAAGGAATAATATAATATGATATGATAT